TGGGGAGTGCCCATGACCCAAGAGCATAGTTCAGTTCTTCACTTCTATCCAAACGTTTTGTGCCTCTCTAAAACATGGAGATTGTCCTTCCTGTGGCATGACAGAGAGCATGCATGCCAGGGTAGTGAAGGGATGGAGTCAGCTAAGTACCCCAGAGCATGATGTGTGTTCTGAAGGGACTAAAAGCCCAAAAATCTGCATTTTTTTCCCTCTTTTTTTTTCCTAAAGCAAAATTATTTCTTTGCAATAGAGCCACTACTGAGTTAGAAAGCTGCTTCAACAGAGGTGCCTGACACAGTATGAGAAGGAAGAAAATTATCTATTTTGCCACAGTGCCAAAGTCATTGCTCAGTTTTTGGGAACTGCTCTGGTGTTTATCTCGGCAGGCTCCAGGATGAGCTGGAGGTACAGAACTGACAGCCGTGGATCAGGGAAGGAGCCTGATTGCTTCTGAGCATTCATCTTCTGCTGTAAATACTGCAGCCACACGCTGCCCCCAGGGACAAGCAGAGCAGATGGTCTTCCCATCCCTCCCACCTGCCACGCTGAAAGAAAGAGATATCCATTGTTCTACATGTGTAGCTCAGGGCCAGAATTTGCAGAGCTGATTGCTTACTAAAAAGCATCTGAGTTCAGCTTTTGAAAGGATCATAGAGGACCGCGAGATAAGTGTTAAGGCAAGGTTTGTCTAAGCTTTTCTTCTCTGAGACAATAGCTGCAATTGGTATTGAAGCTGGGGGTCTTCAGATAAGACGTTATTGAAGGTGGGGCCATTGAATTTCAGTATCTCCTAGTAAGATCTCATTGAAGATTAGGCCATTTATGCTCTTCACATAAGTGAACAGATGAATTAAAAGCTAAGTTCACTTGTAGACTTCACTTCAACATACCAACTTGTTAAAAAAACCCCAAAAGCCTTACTTGCACAGGCTCCCTCAAGGCTAATTTTTTCTGAAAGGACATGTTGAGGCATGCTCTGCCAGAAAATAACTGCATGGCAGCTCATTTGGAGGAGCAGCAGAGGTGGCAGAACACTGTGCTGGTGTGCTCTACCTTAGCATGAGCCCTGGTCTTGCCTCAGGTTGGCCAATCTGAATTAATAGCAGTTAATAACAGATCTCTTTCTACCCAGTGGAAGAGCCCTGTATCATCTCTAAATTCACATGCAAAACCAGGGCCCAGACCCATCGGCACTGGGAAAAAGTCTTGCTGCCCGCAATGGGCTTGGGGTTGAGGCCTGTAGCACCTATGTACGAGGTTTGGCTTTTCCAGAGACCAAAGTAATTGAGTTCCCCACCGACTTGCCCAAGGTGTTACACTTGGTTGGGAACACAAGAGATGCCTTCAGGGTCAGAGCAGTGGTCTGTGCTGCTCGGGACAGTGGCATTACGAGACACTGCTGAGCAAGCACACGTGAGCATTGCAGCTGCCTGCACTGTGATCTTTTCACTCTCCCCAGCATCCACAATATTGGGTCATGGATGTTAGAGAGGGTAAAAGAGCCCCTTTAATATCTGTTTATGGACCTGTTGACCATGAATTTGTCTAATCCCATCTTGACTCTGCTGATGCCTCCACCATCTCTTGAATCAAAATATGCCAGAAATGCACCATTTACCGTGTAACAAAGTATTTTCTGTTAGACTTTCTTTTCTTTAATGAATTTCTTCGTAGTTTTAGTGGCAGGTCTTAGTTCTAGTGCAATTTGGTGACTAACAATTTTGTGTTTATGTCATCACGCCTCCCTTAGACATTTAACTCCTCTCTCTGTTATTACACAGGCCAGCTCCTCGAGACCTACGCTTAATTGTAATTAGTGGTCAGATCTAGATTAGCATTTAGTTAACCTCCCACGACATTGTTCGCACTACATTACAACTCACCACAGCTCGAGTGAAGGCTGCTTTTTTCTCCTCTGGGCTGGAGGCTTTTCCTCTCCAGACATAAATCTTAAAACCACCTTGGTCTAAAATGTAGCAGTCCTGAGAGAAAAAACCAGATGTAAAAAGCTCTGCGCAGGCAAAGATCCTCATTTTAGCTTAGCCAGGTTGGATCCTTGTTGAAGATTTAGCTTAGATGTGGATCTAGCTCATTTCTTTGTATTACAGAGCTCTAACCCTGGTGCAATCATTAGAAGAGACAACAGAGGGTGGATTTACTGTGGTTCATAAATTGACTATGACTACCATGAACCCTATAGTGCAGGAATTCAGGGGTATGCTGACTTTGCATGCACACCTAACCCAGGCAACTGCCATTTAATGAAGTGAAATATGTATTTTTCCTAGGCATTGCTCAAAACTGGCCATTACAGCTCCATGACACATGTTCCCAAACCAGCAGAAATACCAACTCCAAAAGGCTGAAGGAGAAATGTATGCTGAAGTATCACCCTCAGCCTGCTGTGCTACAGTGCTGCTGCTGCTGGTGCTCATTTATGCCAGATCTGCTACTAAAGGAGCAGGAAAAGTCCAAATTAGACACCTTCTGCATGACTGTTTTCTGTACCTGATCCAGAGCTAAAAGTGTTGCATCTTTGTGAACACAGCAGGATCCTGAACCTAAAGGGGATGAGATGGCTGTCGGGGAGCCCGTCTCCACCACAGAGAGATGGTGCCCCAAATTGACAGCCCGCTGTGCGACCGAAGGCTTCTTCAGTTTTTCAAACTGAATTTTGACAAGAAAAGCAAAAGCTTCATATGCCTGGAAAAGGAGACTGAGATTTCACAAGGCTGACACCAGGGTGAATAAGGGAGCTCTTGCAGCACAACACTGATTTGGAATAGTCTGCTTTGCACTGCAGAGAATGAAAGATGAGCAATTCTCTGCCAATTTTTAGCTAGAAGGATATTAGGAAAGTCTCTGCTTTTCTGAAAGCCTTTGGACAGAGGGTCTGTAAGGAATGTCTTTCCAGGGTGGGTCACTGAGAGCAGCCACTTGCTACAGCAGGAAAACGTATTGCCATGATTTTGTAGGCAGAGTATTTATTTACTCTGATTTCTGCAGATGGAGGGCTATCCCTGAACATCAGGTACTAAGAACCCTTATTTCCATCTGAAATTTATTCCTGGCCCGCAGCTCTCCTTGGCTTCGATTGCCAAGCTAAAATCATCCTTGGCCGAGAGGGCTGATTTGCCATCTCTCTTTAGAGCAGCTTCAATGCACCACCCACCTCTGGCCATGGATATTGTAGGTGGGGGCTAAGCTGTCCAGTTTTCAGAGGACTGATAATTTTCAGGAAATTGGGTGTCCCACTGAAACAGGTGCTCAGCTGGAAATAAAGCAAGCCATAGCATCCTTTTCCTGCTGTAAGGGCTGATGGCTTTCTCTCACCTCATGCTGGAGCAGATCCTGCGTCAGGGGCCGGGTGGCTACCTCTTGTACCACCAGGTCGTTTTCCTTCTCATAAACACTGAAATAAAGAGTCACCGAGCAAAGTCAGGCTTCACAACACCCACCACGAGAAGGGATGGAGTTTGGAGCCCATTCCCAGACTTACTGGTAGAGCCGGACATTTGCTTTCTGCAGCTCATCTGCTTTCGTGTCCGGGATGGCGTCTCGAAGCTCCCCGCGCCTCTCCCCCAGCACCATATTCATGATCTGCATGAGGTCCGGGGAGTCCTTCTCGTTGTCAATGATGCCGATTTGAGCGCGGCCACCTCTTTCGCTGTCCCTGATGCTGCGAGCCAGCGCGAGGCCCTGCACAAGGATCACCAGGGGGTAAGTCCTGATCCAGACAATAAATTCAGCAAGCCTCAGACCTAGAGCAATGACTGAGCACCAGTAGTCTAAGACAGATTATCACAGCTCTCTGAAGCTTCTAGCGTCCTCCAAATTTAACTTTTAAAAATGGAGATGTGTCTGTAACGCCTACTTATTAAAAAACTCTCAGAAAAGTGATTCTATGAAAATATATCTTATTATAGACACTCTTGGTGCTTGCTCCTGCAGGGCACAGGCATGCGGTAGCCACAACAGGCGTTGCCTTATGCGTGACTTCACATTAGCAGGTCCAATGACCTGAGATGGTCTGGGAGAGACGCATACATACTGAGGACAATGAGGATGGATGCTGCAGAGCTGCAGGACCCTGGATGCCCCGTGGTGACATTTTACATTTAAATGTGTCAAATATTCAAAAAACGTGGATGTTTTCTGTGAAAAAAGCAGCATGAAATGCCAAGCAACTGATTAGGTTGAAATTTTGTAGTTTGCATGATGCGGAACCATTTTCCATTGATTTTTTTTTTCCATGACTCTTGCTTCAATAGCTTTGAAAGGGACCCCTCTTTGTTAGACCTAGGAAAGGACCTGCTTGATTACCAGGCCTGAGATTAACTATGGTCTGGTCCTTCCAGCAGCCTTGCCTTTACCTGCTCCCCCATCTCTGTGTCCTGAGGGTTTCTTTGTCTTTGCTCTGTTCTCTATTGGATTTTCTCCTCTCTCTGTTGGATTTTCTCCCCTAGCCATCGTGTCCTGGAAAAACATCTTCCCTGTGAAGTTTCCTCCTGTCCTAGCCCATCAGGTGCCACCACATGAAGAGAAGACCCATCTGCCTTTTACCGTGTATAATGACTGGTTTGGACATCAACTTTGCTGATGACTCATTGATATATCTTGTTTTATTACATCTCTGTATCTCAGTTCCTCTGTCAATAAAGTAAGGATAACGACCTCCTTGCAAAGTGCTTTAAGAGCTATGGATCTGACCTATCAACACCTGGGTTGTGTATTCCTGTTTTTCTCATACCGACCAAGCTGGAATGCCCTGTGATTCTGTAAAAAAAATAAACGTTCATCTATCCATGAGGTATTTACTGCAGCTAAATCTAATAATACAGTGAGTAAAGCGTGGCTTTTTCCTGTACTCACCCTGGATTTCTCAGCAATGCTGCAGCTGGGGCCGTTCCACTGAATCAGCACTTTCCCAAGGTCCAGCAAGAAAACATCACCCTTATTGAAACTGTCCCAGGAAAGCTCTACCTGTCACGGGGAAAAGAAAGCGTTCAACAGACCGGGGCCACAACAAAAGCTGCAGGAGACAAGGCACAGCCATTGTGAACTTGGAAGGTAAGAACTGGTCTGCAGTGACATACACATTTTTCTAGCACTCAGCTATTCAGTGAGCCCAATGGCTCCTCTCATGATAATACCAAACCCCCAAGCAAGGTCTTGAAAACAATCCTGTAGTGGGGGTCCTTGAGATGAGCTATCTAGAGGCAAACCTGGCCAAAAATGGGGGTAGGGGGAGAGGCAAGGAGGAATGATCCATAAGGAGAGAGGGATCTTCTTACCTCTGTGGCTGACACGTGCTTCTTCCCCTTGACATGAAGGAGACGCTTGATGTTGTACATATTGGTCTCCACGTGCTTAAATCCTGAAGCCACTCCTCCCTTCTTGTAGCTGTTGCATAGCAGGGGTTTAAGATTTAGAGCTGGTTAGGAAACACCTTCCTCTCTATCCTCTGAGAACCGCTCCAGCTTTTAGTGACAACTAAAAAATCTGCAACCAATATAACCCCAAACTCCTAAAAATGAAATGTCAAATGCTGTGTTTCCTCACTCTACTGTTCATGGTCCTTGGTCAAACCATGACTCCTCACAGTGTCCATCTTACTGTTATGGGTGTTGTGCTGCTGTGCATCTTGGGAGAAGGTGTGCAGATGAACAGGCAGGTTAGGGATGGCAATAGAAACATAACACAACCAAACTGAGAATCCCATTCACCAAGGCAGTGACATCTCAGAATTGAAATATTCCATAAACGTTCAATTAAAAAAAATGAAACTTATTTTCCAGAAAACAGACTTTTTGCTAAAATTTGGTTTTGTTCAGAATGGTTATTCTATTAAAAGTAGCTTAGATAGGAAATTGTTGCCATAAGTAGAACAAAATGCTATCATTGTAATCAGGTACAGGACACTGTCTTTCTTTCAGATTTAATCTACCAATTTTGCTCTTCCACCCTTGAATGTACACTGCAGTAGTCGCTGTTAGCACTGTATTGCCTCACTGCATGATGCCATCCCCTCCTTTCCATTCAACCTTGCAAGGAAGACACAATCACACCATGAGGCCACATGGGCCTCCAAGGAAGTCCCAGAGCCCTTTGACTGATTTTTACTCAAGGCTACCCCACTTCCACGTATCCTAGACTATTTTAGAAAACAGACACAGTGTTCGTACTACAGTGACAATTGACAAGATGTAATTGCAATTTATGGGAAAGAGAGACAATTAACTGAAAGTCACAGATTTTGTCACATGGGTAATGTATGTATTTTATCATAGCATGGAAGAGATTGGCAAACATGGGCAGGTGTGTGAGTGATTCACAGTATTTTAGACTTGTTTGGCCCAGCTGAACACATCCACAGAAGGGTGCTTTGGTGATTACTCCACCTGCCAAGGTGTAGAAAGAGCCTGCTTTAATTTCTCATTCTGCCTCAGCCTTCCTGCTTGACCTTAGGGATGTGGTTTAGACCAAGATGAAGCCTAACTCATACTGGTTTCAGAGGCAGACAGGTTTCCAAATAGAGTCCTAAACCTGCATACTTTTGAAGGTCTGAATTTTAGTTCTTCATTGCCTCTTACTTATCTATAAGATGAGCACAAATGCACATATTTTGTCTCACAAAAGGGAATTCATGAGAGGTGGTAGAGATGCAGAATACAGAGATATCAAAAACCAGGCTGGGATAGAGGGCATTAACCAAAGCAAGGCACTTAGGATGTTTATCGCCAGTGAAGGTCCTCCTGGAGGATGGCTGTTGGAGACACCTTCCGAAGACCCCAAAGGGAGTAAAGACCACAGAAATGGAATTCAACAGTATCTTTTAGATGACAAAAGCTCAGAGTCAAACTTTCCTTCCTCTACAGGAATATTATTCCCAGTGTGAGTCAAATCAGCAGTTCTTGTCAAGGTGGGTATTAGTCTGAAGTGCTCTGAATGGAACTCCAGGGACTATGACCTGCCTCACTGCAGGGTGTTTTACACTACTCACATAATGCCATTGCGGAAATAGCTTTGGAAGGTCTCAGATTCGTGTCCCTGCACTTCCCGGTGCTGCACGGGGCTCCCTCTGAGTGCGTTGTCCAGCTGGGTGACGTACATGGCCGCGGCACCTTGCTCATCCTGAGATGAATCCTTGCCAATCCAGTAATGCAAATCCACAGCGGAGCCGCGAGAAGTCCTTTTGGCCTGGAAGAGGTGGGAAAGGTGAGTCAGGATGAAGTCACAGCTCATGTGTGTGTTTTAAACCGTATCACTGGCCAGGGAGACCTGCCAAAACCAAGGGACCGTGGAGCCCTTTCCCAGGGTCTTTCCCAATTCTGCTTTTCTCCTGGGCAAGGATGGTACCTTATGTGCTTTTAAAACTCTGTTATCAAGGAAAATTGAGCACATGTGCAATTACAAAATTGAATGTGTTCAACCTGTCCTACTTTCATAGAGTTTGATTTTAAAATTTAAAGGATGCTCTTCTCATAGACCACCTTGTTAAATGTAATCTACACCGCTATTTATTTGTCTGGAGACGCTCTCCTTTATTACCATTCTCTTTCTCATATCACACTATGCAGTAACACAAACTGTCTCTGAATTCCAGCTGACTTGCAAAACAGACATAACTCTAAACAGAGCTGTGCATGCTGTGATTCGTCTTATTACAGAAAAACCCAACAGCCTACAAAGAGGAGGTGAGCGATCTGAGAACTGGTGTGCTTATTGTTATGTGAGTTGTGCCAGTTATTTTTCAGCACCTACTGTGTTAAACCCTATCCTGGACACCTGGGAAAGGTAATAAAAGCTCATTTTATAAACTGGATTTGACACTAAGTTCTGTTTATTTGCTTTGTGCGGGGATACCACAGCGAAACACACTAGAAGAACTTGAACAAAATACAACTGAGTTCCTCTAGGCGCAGCTAATTAATCTGTGGCAAAATCACTCCATTTAATACACTGTTGTTGAAGATGATCAAAGCCACGTTGTCCCATGGACTATCTTCATTTGGAGAGCCTCCAGTCAAGATGCAGAATGCAAACCCTCCTGTCTGCAGGGGGGAAGGAGAGTGGTGGGTTAATTATGAGCTTTTCTACCTGGGAAAGCTATGGCAACATAAGCTGAGCCTGTGAGCATCAAAATCTATACCAGTATCTATCAGTATCCATAGTCAGTATCTACAGTCATCTCCTTTCAGGGACATGTGTATTCTGCTCTAAGCATGTCTTTGGGTGGCTGTGACCAAACTGATTCACCAGAAGGACTCAGAAGGTGGCATAAAGGCGTGTGCATGGTAATTAGAGCAGGAGACTCATTCTGCACTGCTATCCCAGCCCGCTTTCCCAGCTTGACAAATACTGGATGTGCATTTGGTTCTTGTGGGGTAGTAGAGGCTTTGCTATCTCTTGACTGATGGAGATGTTTGCAGGAGAGACACTCAGATGCAGGAAGTGGGAAATGCTTCTGGTTTCAACCATATGGACGTTGTTTGATGCAATGGGGCCTGGGTTGCTCTATGCAGTCGAAAAGATTTGGAAGGAAGTCTGGGAGCTGAGTGCAAGGCATCAACCTCCCACAGAGCTTCAGGAACACAAGGCAGTTTGTACAGCCCACATAGTCTAGTTCTCACTTGGTTCTGGCTAGCCTGAGTTCAGCTGGTTGCAAGAAGGCCTGGACCAAACTTGGGAGACCAGATGAAGTGTCCTAATGGGGACATGAGAAGGGCTGCAGAGCCTCTCTTCTGCTTGGGTGGCACACCTCCATAATCCATAACACCTGTTGAAAATGAGACCTCCCAGTCAGCCACCTCTCACCCCACCAAAATGCTCCCATAGGTCATGTGAATGTGGGCCTTGATTTAATTTGCCAGGAATGTACTCACCATTTTTCCAGTTGTCTACTAAACAGACCAAAGTTTGCCAGCCTTACTTACATGCAGAATTATGTAGCAGTCTCCTTCAAAAAAAGTCCCATAAGCCCTTTCAGGTACAGGAACCATCTTCATGTTCTGTAAGGAAATGAGCATTTGGGTCACTGCTAGAACTTCAGAGCCAGAAGTTGGTGTGTGTGAAACAGGACAGCTGGGGTGCACGAAACACTGAGGTGGCAATCAAGGTCTGGAGAAGCCACTTCTGGGGGAAATCCCAAAAGTACTAAGGGGCAAGAAGGGGCAAATGATAATGCTGCTTGGGCAGACTGACAATGATTTTTTAGCCTCCTTGTCCTCTAGGTCTAGAGCAAGAAGACCTCGAGGCCAGGCTGAAGTGCTCCAGAACTTGAATATACAGGGAATTTCCCAGGGAAGTGAGCACGTCTCATCCTGGTCTTAGTTTTGGGGCATGGCTTTTTCTCAGTATCCGTAAGTTCAAGGGTAACTTTCAGAGCTTTTTTAGGATAACCACTTTGCCAGGGATTCATAGCAACTAGCAGTGCTGAGAAAAGACAGACTTGAGGACGTTGATGAGTCCCCCACCCCTCCAGACCCTAATTGCACACTTCATCTGGTACAAGCGCACAATTAACCAGCCACGGCTGCCCAGTGTAGGTGCCTGGATGTGACACCCACCAGTGCACACACAGCTCCTGGGCCTGAACTGTGGTTCCCTGGAATTTGAGACACGCATTCCTTTGGTGGCCTGACTTGTTTCCCAACATACCAGCTTGACCTTCGTGAACTGACATGTCTCTAATTACAGATCCTCTGGAAAGAGGCTTAGTACAGTGCTTTGGAGAGAAATGGAAAGGCAAAGACCCTGTCATATTTGGAACATAGGTGGGACCTGTAGAGGGCCACCACCACTTGGAGAGGTGTGTCCCTGCCCACTGCTACCCTGAGTGGGCTCTGCACCTCAGCCTATGCCCCATCTTGTTGTAGGTGAATGTTCTTGGTGAATTGGGCCAGAAAAAGGCAGAACTGAGCAGAGTCTGGCTCCAATTCAAAATCAGATACCACCACAAGCAGAAGGTGACCTCGCAAGCTGCCTCTCCCTGAAGTGACCCATCAATCAGAGTGGGAAAGACAAGGATGAAGTGCAGACAGACTCCATGAGATGCCTTTGCTGCAAAAATGTGTGCCCTCCCCATGGCAGCTGCTGGTATAGACTAAGGTTATCTTTGCATAACCCCTTGCCTTGGTGAAATGGGTAATTCACTTCTGGTGTGCTAAAGCAGCCTTGCATTGCCTCCCAAAGTGGGTGAAAAAGCCTCCAGCGCTGGGGGAACAGTTTCAGTCCCACCACATTCATGTGTCCTTAGTCAATATTACCTCTGCTTTACAGAGCCAGAAACCAAACCAATAACATGTTGAAAGCTGCAAAGGGAGAAGTTGAGTCTCCACTTTCCCACTCTTTTCCTACCCAGATTACTTCAAGAACATCTCTTTCTTGAAACATATACACATGCACACACAGAGGACATATTGCCTCTTGTCGTACCTCTATGCTCCATATCTGCAATCCCAGCTTTCTCTCAATAGTTGGGAGACTTATGTCGCCGTCTGTCATCCTGCAGTCTGAGCTAGAAGGCAAAGGAAGAAGAAAAAAACCAAAATAAATATATATAATTGCATACAACAGTAAGTCAGCCGGGTTCCTCTTACTGTCAGTGGAGGTTTAATACAGATAATCCACACCTTTAAATGTCTCTATCTCTCTCCTGACTATGAAAAGAGCATTGATGTAATTATCAACAGTTAGGTGGGATGAGCCTCCATGTCCAGGGTATTCATGTTCACTGGAAGCCAAGCAATGTGTGGTATCACAGCCCAGCAAAGACTGAACAGGATACTGTTGTTCTGGTGCAGGATTATTTTTTTCCCTATTTGAATAAGTGGAAAAAATTTTCAGGAGGGAAGAATTAATGGAGGAGACGTATGCTCTCCTGAAGCAGCCACTGGAGGAGCCACTGAAGCCACTGGTCAGGTACCCTGAGACACTGGAAAGCACTAAGGAACGAAGCCCTTCCACTTTAGGAGGAGATTCAGGTGTAAATTAAGACACCTGCAAGGTATCTCAGGGCAGGGCACCAGGCTCTCAGCTCCGTAAAGGTCAATGGAGACACAGCCAGCGTGGTCAGTGGAGCATATGGAGCAATCCAGCTGATGACCTGATGTTTACACATAGCCGAGCAGCTCCCTAGGCTCTGCTGCTTGTAAGGGGAAGAGGTAGGTTTCGGCTGCCCACACGAAGGTGTCTAGTGACATTTGAGATGTCTTTGGTATCTCCAGCTGCCCCTCTGATGGGTCCCTCTCAGGCCCCATCCATCCTCTGTCACCTCTACTAGCTGTTAATATTAAAAACAACTGCTCTTAGCTGTGCTCCTTGTTCCTGCCGCTTGGATAGCTGAGGTTTTGTTCAAGCAGCAGCTTCTGAACTCAGCTTGTTTACAGGGCAATCTCCTGAAGCAAATCCAAATTCGATGCATATGAAAACACTGGGTTAATCCTAGCAGAGCTGGCTGGCCTGTGGGGCATGGCAGGTGCCTCCCGAGCAGCCATGGGACAGAGCTCGCATGCATTTGTGTAGGGGCAAGACCCATATCAGTCGTTCCTGTATGAGTCAATCCTGCTCGCAAATCAAAGCCCAAGCTTCGAGAGAAAACACGGCTCACTGATTTCTGCATTTTGCATTCATTTTCTCCACCAGTGCACTCTCCTGATTTGCATTTGCTCATGACAGACTGAACTACTGTTCTGCGTTAAAAACAACGGCAACCTGATTGACTGCATTTTCTCCTCTGTCTCCGGTTGAAAAGGCTGCACTGATTGTAGGCCATGGCCTCTCCTGTGCTCCTCTGCTCCGCTGTAGGAAACCGCCTGCAAGAAGGAACGGTGCTGTGCTCAGCTCAGCACAACCAAGCCACAGTGAGATGAAAAATACAAGAGGTTATTGCAGAAAGCCATGGGAGAAGCTGCTTCTGAAGGAGGAAAAGGACAAAGACAGATGGTCCCCTGCAAGAAGGTGTGGTTATTGCTGGTGTTACGGAGAGATGTGCTGCACTTGGCACCATAAAGTCATGAGAAGTGATGGTCCTTCTTCTGAAGAGTTTGCACACTAAAAGCTCAAAAATTGCTGCTCAAGGCAGGAACATCAGTCCGTCCAGATCTCCCACAGCCCAGAACTGCCAGACCCTGGCTCTTTGCACAAGCAGTAGAGAGATGCAGGTAGAATCACAGAATGATAGAATCACAGCATGGTTTGGGTTGGAAGGGACCTTACAGCTCATCCAGTCCAACCCCTGTCAAGGGCAGGGACACCTCCCACCAGCCCAGGTTGCTCAAAGCCCCATCCAACCTGGCCTTGAACACTGCCAAGGATGTTTTGAGCACAGCCCCAACACCTCTCTCCTAATGGTGTAGGCACCCACAATCTGTCAACACTCAGCAGTGGGACTCAGCCACGCTCACTCCTTCCTGAACACAAATATATCTGAAGGATGGTGGAAGACTGAGTTCATGTGGCCTCGTGTACCTACCAGGAGCACATTCACCAACCTCCATCTCCCTTTCAGTTCCTTCAGACAGCTTCCAGGCAAGAAGACAGACAGCAAGGAGAAAAAAAGAAGACGTTTTTCATCTCAATTCCCAGAAAGGTAATTGAGACCCACACAGATTATCAACCATATCCAGGAAGATACTTCAATGTCTACAGAGGAGCTAGACACTTTTCTGAATGGGGTCCTGACCCACCTACAGTGAAGTCCATGGCTATCAGGAACTGAGGCCAAAAATATGGTCCCAGTTCAAGTCTTTATCCAAAAGACCTTTCCTTTCTTTTTAATAAAGCATTTGAAAGTTCCCTACCAAAGAAAAAAACAAATGAAGCCTCCTTCCAGCAGCTATATTTTTGATTTATTTAGGGTTTTTCCTTCCAGCATCAAAACAGGAACAAGCTGAAAACAAAGCCAATAAAGATGTTGTATGTGAGGGAGGATTCAGGGGGTTGAAGTTTTTTAGCAAAACCACCACAGCTCCCTGTGGAAGGCAGCAGGCGTCTTGCTAACAGCGCAGGAACCCGGCAGCTGGCCAGATGTGAGACACAGCTGGCTCCCTGCATCCCAACCTCTCCTCTTGGAAAAGTTAACCCAAAGGATGCTGAGATTCCTCTGAGCGCAGACAGCTGTGTTGGACAAACCCCTCCAAAAGCCAGCAACGCTCTACTGATTCCCACCCAAACCTCTTTGACTCAAAATGGGGATCTTGGATCTCACCCACTCTTAAGGGTCCTTTCTCCATCTGAAACCTGCCCATCAGCTCTGGTCTCCATTTTTCTGGGAAATGCTGTCCCTCCCTTCCTCCTTAGTCATTAAACTGGGGGAAGTGTGATGCACAGACAAAGCTGGCTGTGTCTTTGGGCTTTGCAGCTTCTTCCGGCTGGCGGCCAAGTTAGAAATAATAGGAATATGACTTCTATAATCAAACAGCTCATTTCATTAATGATTTAAAGAAGGTTTTTAATCAGATGATCCCATAATTCAACTCTCACCCAGACACAAAATTGAGTATTTATGGAGTGAAAACTTCACATCTGTGCTAAAACCAGGAAGGGCAAAAACTTTTCTAATTTAAAATGGAAAAAAAGGGGACGTTAAGAGGCTTGGGTTCACTGTGAGGTTTCAACAGCAGTGTCTGGGTCAGTTCCTATCTCAATCAAACCAGTTTTGCCCAGCGCAAGGTGAAACGCAAATTGTCAAGAAGCATGAGTCAACTGCCTCTGGGGCAGGAATTCACCTGAAAAATAACTGGTTATGAGGTTGGACATTTGCTTCCTTGTGTGCAGACACAGCCTTACCTGTGAAGGGGGAAGAGAGGCACTAAAGCAGCTGTAGCTCACTTCTTTGCCTCCGCATTAGTAATATGCAACTACCCAATTTCCACCTCCAGGGCCTGCTGCCCTATTTCTACCATTTTAAGGGACTCTCACAACCATGAAGAGAGGACACAAGTTCACACCATGAGTACAGGCCGAGAGGTGACCACTGCATAGCAAAGCCAACTGTTGGCTTGGAGCTGCTCTGCTGGGTCATCACCACCCAACTGCGATACTATAAATTAAACTGTGAAGAGCAATGCTGCTCTTGGGTGAGGACAGAGGACCTGGAAACCAAATGCTGGCGAGTGGCATCTTGGCTGGACATCACAATGGAGACAAAATAGAAATTCTAGAGCTAAAAGGAAAGCCTTCCCTAACATGGTCTAGGTAACAAAGCTGGTGGGTGAGGGCAGATGGGTCTCTGTTACACCCGCTCACATTCACATGCTGCCAAAACCATAGCATTGCTCCTGTTTAATACGACCTCCATCCCCTCTCCAACCAGCACAGTGTGGGGAAAAGCTTTGCCTTCAAGAAGGACTAAATGACTAATTAAGTGTCAAGGTCACTCCCAAGATTGGTTAATGAATAACAGTGCCAGCAATCACAACTTCATTTCACCCAACCTGGTACGTGTTGGAAAGCAAACCCAGCAGGACTTCAGGCAGACTTGGGCTGTTTGGGTGGGGAGGGAAAATAAGGACTCAGAAAGGGGATAGGAGATAGTTTCAAACTCCCGAAGTTTGTTCTGAATTAAGCCTGATTTGGCTTGTCTGGGTTTTGGCGGCACACTTACTCGGCTGTAGTCACGGTAATAAAAAACCCCAGTGAAATGACTAATGCTCTGTACAGCTTCGGGAAAATAGGAAGCAGCTGTGGCTCCAGCCTTTCCAGGCTGAAAGGCCTAATTATTGGGAATACTTGGACTGGCATTAGATGAGGTAAACCAGGGCTGCTGAATTGCTTTCATTGTCTCCATTATAGTTGGGCATCTGGGCCCAAGTAGGTGCCATTTTTTTGTCTGCAGAGGACAGCAGTTAACTCTCGGTTTGCCCAGAGGAATGAAGCTCAACGTTGAGTTACCTTGTGTAATCAGCATCAGCTACTGCTCAGGACCGTTGCTTTTAATGGTGACTGTCCCTGCTGAGTGACTGTCCCAAAGTACAGCACCCAACCAATATAAGCTGTCTTGTATTTTCCTGTTGTAAGAGGAGAAAAAGTGTCTTTTATCTCACATGGAAATGATAGGTAGAGAGGTCCAGCAATGGGGCTTGCCTTCTCTCTCATGCTGTCACACACTCCATCACACAACATCCTACTGCAATTTTTTAGCAGGAAGGCAAAATTTGCATAGGTGAGAGCACCTGCAACATACATATCCATATGTGTGTGTGTGTTGGTGACAGCTCCTGTCCTCTTGCACAGTCACTGAAGGGTTGCAATCAGAGAGGCTGAATCACATCACCCATGTTGGATGTGCTGGGATGTGGTGATGAGGCAGGGAATGGGAGATGTGCTTTAGGGGGTGGCAAAAGAGGAAGAGGTGCAGCTCATCTCATCCTTCTCCTCTAGGTCCTATAAAGTCCAGGTTCAGC